CCTCCCTTTGAGTGCTGGTTGGGGGGGCGGTTCAGAGACACCCCTCCCCCAAAATAATATGGGCTATCGCCACTGCTCTTGGTTGCAACCAGCACTTGGTGGTAAGACCCTATTGCTGAACACACCGCACACTTGGGTCACAGACATGGAGAAATCAAATGGGTACTGACCTGGATGCTTCTTTCTAATGGCTAGTTTTCACAGTACCAGAAAATGCAAGATGCTAGAGGAGAAAAGTCATCAACAGTCTTACACAGTTATGAACCTGTGAGCTACAATAATGACAAGTCTGGCAAGATAAGCCCATAAATGTAATAGTCACATCAATGTTTTGGGGATAACCAACTGTTTTCTGATTGGATTTAAGGCCCACTCCATAGGTGGAAATTCATGTCCGGTACTGTACATTTGGCCTTCTGGACACGATAGGACTAATGCACTCATGAACTCATAGCAGCTGTCATTCCCTGTACAAGATCAAGTCAGTCAATATTTCATCATGGATTGGGAGAGGGACTCACAGGGCCCCACCTGTAGCTGAAGAACTATTGGCAATTAATGACTGCTGGGAAAGAGAGTCAGTTTTCTGGGTGAGGTCCCAAGTAGGTTGATTATGCTCCAGTTAGATGACCCACCTCCATGCACATTTGGGCAGCATTAATTAGACTCAGTGATGGGTTTTTTGTTTTGGATTTTTAAAAAATTTGTTACATGTTTTCATTTTCCATGTAAGAATATTTTCCTGTATGCATACATTTACATACATGTGCGCTTAGTGCCTGCAGAAACTAGAAGAGGGCATCAGATTCTCCTAAAACTGGAGTCACAGATGGTTGTGAGTTGACATTTGGATGCTGGTAACCAACCCAGATCCTCTGCAAGAGCAGCAAGTGCTCTTAACTACTGAGCCATCTCTCTTACCCCAACTCAGTGAGGTTAGACAAAAAACAAAAGAACAAAAAAGGAGAAGACAAGAAGTTAGGGGATGGGGGGGGGGATCTGGGAAGAGTTGGAAAGGGGAAGTCAATTTGATCAAAATACATTGTATACATGCATGACATTCTCAAAGAATAAATTAAAAAATTATACATTTTAAAATGGTCTATGGACACTGGGCATAGTGGTATATGCCTTTAATCGCAACACTCAAGAGGCAGTGACAATGACAGGCAGATTGCTGTGAGATTGATGCCATTCAGGAATAGTCTACATAGGGAGTTCCAGGTCAGCTGGGGCTACAAAGTGAGACACTGTCTCATTCCTCCTCCATAATAAAAAAATAAAATAATCAAATCAAATCAAATAAATCAAACAGGACATCCACAAATGAAGAAATACAAATGGTAAACACTTTAAAAGGTTTTCAGCATCCTTAGTCATCAGATAAATGCAGATTAAAACTACTTTGAGATTCCACCTCATGCCAGACAAAATGGTTATCATCAAGATTACAAATGTAACAAATGCTGGTAAGAATGTGGGGAAAGGAAACCCTTATGCACACTGGAAAAGTGCCATGGTGGTAGAGAGCAGAGGTTTTAAGTGGGGTAAGGGTGCTAGAACACAAATATTATGAAAATTCAGGAAGGGAAGTCTGGGATTAAACAAAGATAGGGTGGAGGAGGGGAAAGAAGATGAAGGATAGAGGAGAGATTACTAAAACTAAGGCTGTATGAAGAAACCACATGGAAACCCACTATTTTATAAGCTAATTAAAAAAATGTATAAAAAAGTTTGAGCAGGGGGCTGGAGAGATGGCTCAGCGGTTAAGAACGCTGGTTGTTCTTGCAGAAGACCCGGGTTTGAATCGCAGCATCCACATGGCAGCTGACAACTATCCATAACTCCAGTCCCAGGGGATCCGATGGCCTCTTCTGACCACCACGGGCATTGCACGACAAGGGTGGACTTACCTACATGCAGGTAATACACACATACACATAAAAATAATAAAAATTTTTTAAAAGTTTGAGCAGATCAGACGTGGTGGCGCACGCCTTTAGTCCTAGCACTTGGGAGGCAGAGGCAGGTGGATCTCTGTGAGTTTGAGGCCAGCCTGGTCTACATAGCGAGTTCCAGGCCAGCTGGGGCTACAGGGAGACTCTGTCTAAAAAAAAAAAAAAAAATGCGGTGAAAGTTTGAGCAGATATACCATATATGGATGGATAATGCCAACCCCAGAGGCCATGGGTTATTAAACAAAACTCCCATTGCCAAATGTGAGATACATCCCTAGGAGTCATTGATCAGAAAGGTCCCAGAAGCCCCCAAAACTATATAGGTTATCGTCACTGCCATTGGTTGCCACCAGAACTGGTTGGTAAGACCCTACTGCTTACAATACCAAACCCCCTGGATGCAGACTACAAAGAAACCATGCTGGAACTGAGTTAGAAGCTTGGGCTGGAAGCCGCTATGCAAGCAGTTGACAGAGAAAAGCCAGCAATGGCCTTCCCCAGCTTATGACAATACCAACCTGCTAGGCAAAAGGTGCTTACTAGTGCTGTGCAAGCCTAATGATTGGTCTGCAGAACAGCCAGAGCTCTTAACTGCTGAGCCATCTCTCCAGCCCAATAATAAGTAATTATTTTTTGAAAATGTGTATTAAAAATGTCCATTTTTAAAAGGTACACACACATACACTGATACACATGGTTCTTAACCAGAAAATACTCTTAAGTCTCTCAATATGAATACACTTAAACAGCTATTACACAATCACCAACTCTGGCCCATTTGGCTGTGGGCCACCCCGACCCCAGCAGCAACAGTCTCTTCATTTACAGAGTGGGTATGGCGCATTTAAATCTTTCTTCCAGTGTGCCAAAGAAGGATCTTCAAGTCTCAGAACCTTGTGCCTGCTATACTTCAGACAACAAGAGGCACAGATCAGTGGGATTTATATTCCACTTCTGGTCTAGTTTTGTGTGTTTGTTTGTTTTTCCAAACCCATGCTTCAGTTTTGTGTTTTACGACACACCATGCAGGGATATCCGGCCAGGAACCTCAGATTCTTTGGTTACTAAGTTTATAACTGGTATATACTGTGCTTCTTGTACTCTGAGGTATCCATAAAGAAAGGACATTATAGAAACAGAACACTGCTTTGAATGCTATACTCAGACTGCAACGAAAACAGAGGCTATGGACAGGTATCATGAGTATCAATCGCCATTCTAATCTGTCTGATATCATAAAGTTTTGTCTTACATCATTTAGGAAGAACTGTACTGTTAAACCTGTCAATCAGATCAAATCTTTGAAGGACGGGTGACAAGATGGCATAATGAGTACAGGAGTATGCCACCAAGTCTGACAACCTGAGTTTGAACTCCAGGTTCCACATGGTGGAAGGAGAGAACTAACCCTCCACAGGTTGTCCTCTGACCTCTATATGCATGCATGCCCCCAAATATATATAATTCATTAAAAATGATCTTTGGGGGCTGTTATGAGTCAAATACTCTTCGTCACAAATGCTATCAAATTACTGATTATTATTCAGCTATTTCAATTATATAGAACATATAGACTTAAAAAAGCAACAGATCACCATTTTATTACATGTTTAACTGAACTTTTTCAAATTGCAGAGTTCAACTCCAAACAAGGTAATAAAATACATATTAAATCACTATTCACTTGCATTCTTCTCTCCTAAAATTCTAATGCAGGAAACATCTTAAAGACACGTTAAAATGTTCAGTGCACTTTCAAAGGTTTACCATGAGATACAGATCATGTTCATCCACAGAAAATATTACAAATGAATCAATAGTTCAATAAAAATAAAATGCCACACTTTCACACAATCCCTTTGGTAGAGGATAGAATGTTGTTTAAAATAACGCTCTTCCGTACACCGGGCGCTGTGCTCCGTAGGCTGGGCACGTCAGCACTCAGTACATGCTCAGCTCCTCCTTCAATCTCTCTAGCAGGACCCTAGCCTGGCGAACTTCAAACCCTTCTGCTGACCTCAGGGACAACTCTGGTGGAACCCACTCTCCACGCTCCCTCCACTTGTTTCCTGACTTCCCTTATTTGGCCCCTTGAGGCGTGTCCATTCTCAGTAATGTTGCCTGGCACAAAGCAGAGCTGCTCTTCTCCCACGTTACCCCTTCACTGCTAAACTATGACTATGAAGTGAAGAGGCTGGATCTATAATTCTCCCCAGTTTATGATCATATTTACTACAATGCAAGAAGGTTGGTGATGCCTGATTTAGAACTTAATTCAATGAATTTAAGTAGAATATATTCTGATCCATTCTCTTCTATTGTTTTTAAAAATCCTAAAAATATAAATTTGTAAACAGCCTACTAAGCCTTTCAGTAGAAATAGTTATCCTACTTTTCATTTAGTGAGTTCAGAAGAACAAAAGTGATACTACATTCTACTTGGCAGATCCAAAATCATATCCCAGCCCTAAACCCTCAATTTACACGTATACTCTTGACAGCTTTGTATGCCAAGCATGTCTGATGACGATGACTGTTGCCACTCACAAGCACACCTTGTAACAACATGTGTGGTCCCCCAATCACAGATGTCCATGTGCTTTTGCTCCACAACTGACCTGAGCTCAGTGAGCACACACCCTGGAAGAACACACAAAAACTGGAGCACCTCCTACACTGCTTTGCCAAAATGAGAACAAGATGGGCCCAGAGCAGCTGCTGGGCAAGAATACAGAGGTAACTAATGGGGGTGTTCACCGGTCAGCAGCGTCCCTTTATCATGGCAGTGCTAAGAGCCTGATAATGAATCTGATCTTCTACTTAAAAGGAGAAACCCATTATTACAGGAAATTTTAGTCACTTACTGTTCACATCTTACTTTTAGTGAGGTTTCACTGTGTGTGTGTGGTTTTTTTTTTTTGGTCTTTTTGAGACAGGGTCTGCCTGTAGCCCCAGCTGTCCTGGAACTCACTATGTAGACCAGGCTGGCCTTGAACTCATAGAGATCCACCTGCCTCTACCTCCCAAGTGCTGGGATTAAAGGCGTGCGCCACCATGCCCGGCCTCTGTGTGTGTTTTTTAAAGGGAGAATTTAACAAAAATGTAACATTTTTAAATGAATAACAAATTAGTAAAGAAAAAATACTTTTGTTTTTGTCGCAAACACAAGTGACTATTAGCTCTGTGGAGCCCACTGAGCATCTGGATCATCTGTGATTTATGAGATAACCTGAAACCAGACAGAGTGCTGGACTTGGGTGACAATCAGTCTTAATGAACTAGAATACTAACGCAATGCCTTAAAATTATATGACCTGAACAGTCTCAATGGTGAAGTGTCAGAAAAGGCAAAATAAATATTTTCCACAGCACCATAAGGTTTCATAAAATATTATTCCAATTAATATGTAACCTCAAGATTTGGGCCCATTATACGCATTTGGCATAATCTCTTCTTTTACTAAAAAGAATCCCAAAAGAGGCCCTATAAACACAACTATAACATGAAAATGATGTATCTGACTGAAGCATCTGTAGGTGTGTTTATGATCACTGCCTCAGCCAAATCCACTCAGTACTAGTGAATTTAAAGGCCAGGAAAAAGTCAATTGGCCATTTATATTATAGTTACAAATTTTTATTACAAAAAAACATATTTTATGGTCAAATTACCTAAAATTATATGTAACAAGCAAAAACAAAATGAAATGAAACAAAAATCCCACAGATTGATTCTCCCCTAGTACCCAGAATGCTAACAGATCTACAACTATTAGTATTAGGCCATCTTAGTTCAACATTAACCTAAGCAAAACATAACACAGTATTGATTTACCTACAACAAACGCTGCAATTTAAAGCCAAGCTTGATTTAGGTTTAGGATTATCAATTTTATGTTTCACCTTCATTAATGCAGAGAACTGAGTCTTGGCTTTATTACAAATTAGTTAATGCTAGAATAAATTTGCTATAAAATCATTTAAAACAAAATAAATATTTTCAGTTCCTCCACATTGATACGTAAATCATTAGCAGTTTATGACATTAACTTAGGTCATTTGGGAGGGGGACCCAGATGTACTGTACAATCCTGAGTAAAGTTAGTGACACAGTTTCTTGGGGATCTTTCTTATCAGGAATCAAGAAGAAAACACATAAACCAAAACTTACAATAATCCCCATTTCCATGAGAAGTACCATGAGTTCTATTTACTTTGGTAAATAAGTTTATACATGTAAACCATTTATTTGGAAAAGCAAAATTCAGCAGTTTTGCTAGCATCTCTCCATCACCTTCTGACACTGATAAGATAAACAGTCTGGAAGAGCAGAGCAGGAGGATCTGAACCACAAGGCTAATACATCAGCGTGAACTCGGCAGTGCAGTAAGCAGGGGATGGATGGAAGCAGCTGACAGGCCAATAGCCCCTCATTGCCTGCAATAAAACAAGATGGGAAAAATGTAATAAAAAGGATTTCAACAGACATTTCTCCAAGAATATATACAAATGGGCCATAAGCACATGAAAAGATGTTCATCAATCACTAGAGGAATGCTAATCAAACTTACAGTGAGATACTACCTCATACCTCACATTATTTTTATAAAATAAAGTGCTAAAGATGTGAACATAAACCCTTACATTTTGTTCATGAGAATGTAGAAAGATATGTTAGCCACAAAAATGATCTAGTAATTTAACAAAAATTTGACATTTGATCCAGCAACTGTACTCTGGGTATATAACCAAGGAACTGAGAGCAGGAACATCAACATGTATTTCTACACCATATCCACAGCAGCATTATTCACACCAGAATAAAGGAGAAGTGATACAAGTGTTCAGTGACAGGCTAATGGACGGTATGTGGAGTACTCACACTACAGAATGTACTTTGGCCTAAGAAGGAAAGAGACACTATGCTAAATGAAGTCCGTATGATATTCAAGGACAAATCCTGTATGATTCCTTGTAGAAGTAGCCAACTTCACAGACACAAGAAGAATGGTGGCTCCCAGAGAGAGGCTAGGAAAGAAGAAGAGCTAAAGAATTAGTGTTTGTTGGGCACGAATTTCAGATGGGGAAGACGAAAAGCTTCTGGAGATGAATGATGGTTGCTTAATAATATGAATGTACTTAATGCCATTTATGCATTTAAAAGTGGTTAATTTTGAGACATCTGTGGCCCGGCAGACATCAGCACTTCGCACAATACTAGGAGCCATGTAGAAGCTCACCTGCTTCTGAGATTAAAAGTTAGCACTCCAGCAGACTCCAGGACCCCCACAGTCCACCAAGGAGTCACATGGAGACCTCCTCAGTTCTGTGGTCAGAGCCCCCCTGCAACAGTCCATCCTCTGTTACTTAACCACATAGAAAGGCTGCCCTGTTGTTGAAATCAGAGGCAAACACCCTATTATTCTGGCATACCACCTCTTTGCCACTCAACTACATGGAAAGCCTGCCTGCTTGAGGTCAGACAGTGGTGCTCCTGCTGACTTTGGAACTCCACAACCTGTTACCCACCTACCATTGAGGTAAGACACTGATACTCCCCAGAGAACTGTCACCCCATACTCCCACAACCCCAAAACCCCACATGCATGCTCATATGATTAGAGGATGTACCCCTAGAGACCTCAGTGACTCCCACCTCACAATAAAAATGGGCTATAGATAAGAACAGAGTTCTCAAAGAAGAAATACAAATAGCTAATAAACATTAAAAAAAATTTTTTTTGAGACAGGGTCTCCCTGTAGCCCCAGCCCACCTGGAACTCCCTACATGGACCAGGCTGGCCTCAATCTCACAGAGATCTGCCTGCCTCTGCATTCTGAGTGTTGAGATTAAAGGTGTGTGCCACCACACCTGGCTATATTTAAAATTGTTAAAAATTTTATTACATTATTTATGTGCCTGTATGTTCATGTGTGCATAGGTAGGTGTAGGCATGTATGTCTCTGTGTGTTCGGGGCGGTATCTGTGTTTATACGCACATGCCACTGCACGAGTATGGAAGTCAGAAGACAACTTGGAGTCTGTTCTCTCCTTCTACCATGTGTGTCCAGGTGATAGAACTCAGGTCATAAAGTTTGGAGGGAAGTGCATTTACCCAATGAGCCATGTCTCTGGGCCTGCTAATAAACAGTTTGCTGTTTAAAATATGCTCAACAGCCTTAGTCATCAGAAAAATATAAATTAAAACTACTTGGCAATTCTGTCTCACCCCATTCAGAATGACCCTCATCTAGAAATCATATAACAAATCCTGGAGAGGATGTGCAGGAAGGGGAACCCTTATTCACTAGTGGACCGTAAACTGGTAGAGTCACTATGGAAAGTTAGTGTGTAAGTTTCTCTAAAAGCTAAAAAATGGGGCTGGAGAGATGGCTCAGCAGCTAAGAGCACCCGAGTGCCAGGTGGGGTGCCTGCCTATTAACTCCTGTCCAGGAAGCCTCCAGAAGGTCCCAAAGCAATGGAGGCAAATGTCATGGTTCTTTGTCACCCCTAGAACAAGACAGGAAGACCCTATCACTGAAGAAACCACAGTCTTTAGATACAGCAAATAAATCAAGCTAAAACAAGCTGACAGATTCCTGCCTGGTGGCAAGCATTCACAGTGCTGGAAGGTGCCATGCAAGCTGCTGGGGAGAAAAGACATTACCAGTCCTACCTAGCTGTGGACCCTGAATACTATAGTACTGACCTGCTATTCTGGGGGTAACCAACCACTTTCTGATTGGATTTGAGGCCTGCTCCATAGGAAACAATACATTACCTAGCACTGTAAGTAAACCTGTGCAAAAACCCATAGCTGAGGACACCATAGGCCCTAGGGAGGAATTTACTACTGATGTTATTCTAAATAGACATGTAGTCAAACTGTCTTCAAAATATTTATGCTTATACTTTAGACTATCCCTGTATATAGCCTTAGCAAGAAAAGCTTCTTTCGGGGGGTGGGGGGTGGGTCAGGGTCTCCCTGTAGCCCCCCAGCTGTCTTGGAACTCACTATGTAGACCACCAGGCTGGCCCTGAACTCACAGAGATCTGCCTGCCTCTGCCTCCCAAGTGCTGGGACTACAGGCGTGTACCGCCACGCCCAGCTGAAAAGCTTTTTGTTTTTTTGCAGTGGGAGATGGATAATTCAGAGACTCATAACTGGTCAAAGTGCTGAGAACAAGTCATCCCTAAACAGGACATTTATATCACCCCCTTCTAAGGCCCAGGGACATCACAGAAAAGGGGGTGGAAAGAGTGAGAGCTGGAGGGTGGAGAGGAGTGCTGTGAAAGGCTGTTGTCTGGACGGGATATAGCCACGTAATCATGAACACATGGTAGCTGTGGTTATCTGCACACAAGCTGTACAGACTAAAGGCATGAAAACAGGAGGGGACTGCTTGGGAAAAAAAGGTCAACAGGAGCAGCAGAGGGATGTAAGAGGATAGTGAGGGGCAAATATGTTCACGGTATAATATATACACGCATGAGATTGTCAAAAATTTGAAAATGTTGAGAATACTGAAAAATGAAAAAGCTAAAAATAGGTAACATTACATCCTGAGTTTTCAACAAAATACTCTTTAGTACAATCTGAAAAACACACTTATTTTAAAGATATTCTGAAGAAGAAGCATAGCTCTAAGAAATACAACACTTGTAAGACAATCTGTATTCGCACAGGCCTGCCTGTGCATGACCACACACCTATCATGTCAATCACGTGAAGTCTCAGCTTCTGCTGCAGCACTTCTAGGATGGAAGGCAAAGCATCTTGAGGTTCTGCTATTTTTATATTTTGCTTCACATCATTTGCAAAGGACAACCAGAGCTTGCCAAAGTCTTCAGTTGAGATTTTTAGTGGTCTGAAAATAATTTTAAAAATTAGTTTATATCTGAAGAAAATGATGCTGAGCAAAGACATTTCAAATGGCTCATAAAAATGAAATAGAATCATACACCTGGGTCCCCTAAAATTTGTTTTAAAACCAATTTTTTAGAATGTTGAGTGTCACCCTTCAACCTGATGAGGAAACCGAGAGCAGAAGGTAGTAGATGGCAATTTTCTTTTCAATAAATCATTCCGTTTCTCTCTTCTGGACATTAATCATCCAGTAGGATTTTGCCAAGTAACTTCATAAATTGTTCAAATATAAACCATTCTATCATGTAGACTTTGGATTTGGAGATGATGAAATTTCTGCCTAACTCATGTACAAGAGAATGAATACAAAGATCAAACACTTTAAATAAATTAGCTAAAGAACTCTAAATACATCTTTAAAAGAATTATGAAAAGATATGATGGCACAAACCTGTAAATTCAGCTCTCAGGAGGCTGAGGTAGATTTCAAGGTCCAGCCCAGCCTTGGCTGCATAGTAAGACTCTGTCAATATATCTCGTGTGTGTGGGTGTGTGTTTGTGTGTGTGTGTGTGTGTGTGTGTGTGTGTAGAGAAGAATGTATATATATATATGTACATAGAAAGAGAGAGAGAAAAAGAAATATTGAGACTAAAAATAGTTAATAGAGTATTAATACCAAGAACATTTGGGTTTTGGATTATAGAAAACTTCATATTACATTTTTCTGTAACATTTAGTCTATAATCAAGAAAAAGTACATTTTTAAAGATACAGATGAATTTATTACTAAGCACAAAACTGTGTCTTATATATATTGTGCTTCTTCAGATTACTAAATAAGATATTGGGGGGTTATTTTGACAGGTCTCACACGTAGCCCAGGCCAGCCTGGAACTCACTATGCAGTCTAGATGGAGGTTGAACTGGTTACAATCCTCCTGCCTCAACCTCCTGACTGCTAGAATTATAAGCATAAGCCACTATACCTGGATCATAAGAATAAGAGATTTAAAAACATTTTTAAACTATTTTATTTAATATTTTTATTTTATGTGTATGTGTTATCCACTAAGCCATCTCTCCAGCCTGATTAAAAAACACTTTATGTGTATGTATAAGTGTGTATGTGCACATGTGTATAGGTAAGAGGAGAGAAGCCAGAGGGGTATTGGATCCCCTGGTGCTGAAGTTACAACTGGGTGTGAATTGTCTCGCATATGTATTGGCAACCCAATTTCAGTCCTCTTGGGCGAAGAGCAAGCACTCTTAACCACTGAGTCATCTCTCTAGTACCAAAATGCAAGACTTTTTTAAAGCTGATTTTTATCTTTCATAGCATGGACATAACCACTCTGACAGCCTGATAGGCATATTTTTATTTAAAAGATCTTAGAAAGTTAGGGGGCTGGAGAGATGGCTCAGCGGTTAAGAGTACTAACTGCTCTTGCAGAAGACCCTGGTTCGATTCCCAGCACCCACATGGTAGCTATGAACCATCCTTAACTCCAGTTCCAGGGGAAAAATTAAAAAAAAAGATCTTAGAAAGTCAGAAACATAGTAGTGTAACACATGTAGAGATTTAAAAAAAAACTATACAACTATTTGTGGGTATTTTGCATCCTTGGTTCAGATAACCTTCCTTTACAATTGTTCAAATATTATACAATATATTTATAAAAATAAATGAGAAGACAAATTGTTTTCAATTAGTTTGCTAACACAAGTGTCTAAAATAATGCTAAATATGTACATATAATAAAAGTTTAATAACTATGTTGAGTACTTTTCTTATAGATCTCTAAAGTTTACAGATTTATGAGAAAAAATAATCTAATGAATAAAATGCAAATGAAAGAAACTTTAACAATTTAAAAAGCCATAGTCTAAACACTATTTTTTTTCCAAAGTTTCTCCAGATCACCAACCAACCTCACTCTAAATCAGGTATCATACTCTTTCATCATACCATTTATTTTCTCTTCATAGTATAATTCATAATTACATATATATTTCTATAATTTTTCAATGTCCTTTCCAAAGGTAGAGACTGCCTAATTTAAAAAATTAGATATTTATTTATTGTATATCTGTGTTGTGTGTGCATGCATGGGTGCCACGGTGCATGTGTAAAGATCAGAGGACAACTTGGAGAAGTTAGAGAGATCTTTCCACCATGTGGTCCTGGGAATCAAACTTTGGTCATCAGGTTTGGCAGCAAGTGCCTTTATCCATTGAGCCAGATCACCAGCCAAGACTGTTGAATATTTGTTTTATGCCTAGTACCTGCTTAATGTCTCTAGGTAGAAAAAAAGGCATAATGAATGAATGAATAACATACACATTAGAGAAGATATTTACCGTATAAAATCCAATAATGATAAGTTCATGGAAAATTCCAGCTGAGTGGAATGTGTATCCATCATTTGATAACTTATATGACCAGAAAGATTTCCTTCTAGAGAAGGTTTTTCCATCTGTACACTATATTGAAAGTACTTGGTGCTTTCTGTTTCCACCACAGGCAAACAGCATCCAGGTTGCTCAATAGTCTATAAGTAAAAATAATAAAAATACTGAAGAAAGTATCAATACAGTCTTATACTAATAACACCTTTCTATTTAAGTGATGTAGTACTAAAGCACATGAATAGGAGAAATTAACAAACTACATCAGGAAAACAACAAAAATTCACTAACAAAGATAATCAAATAGTATTATCTTATTAAATTATGTAAAAAAATTATGTAAAAAAACGGTATTATAGCTAAAACCTATGAACCTGAGGGTATATTTTTTAAGGTTATTAAATTCTTACCTGACACCAGAATTTTTTAATGATAGTGCTGGGGACTGAGCCCGGGTCTCTGATGCTAGGCAAGTGATCTACCGCTGAGCTGCACCCACAGCTGCTACCAGCTTTTTTTTAAGCTACAAGAGTTTCAAACAATAGTACAGCTGTCCTGAATTCTCATTCTCTACCCTTACTCAAGCTCTAGTGGGAGAATTCAAGCATGCTTTATCTTTTTTTTAAAGTTGTACGAGTAAATCTAATACATATCTCAGTGGCCCAGAAAATAACTCATCCAACACACTGCAGCTCAGAGAAGAAAATGGGCCCATTTTCTGCAGCAATACACATATTTGTATATTTTTATTGAATTTTTATATATTCCATACATTAAAACTTAATCATATTTAGACCCCTCCACTATCCGTATCCCCCATAGCCTGCCCATAGGATTTCATGCATTCTATCATATATGTTAAGGCCTATCAAGTCAAGTTTGTGTACCCAGAAGTCCCTCAATGTGAGTTCATCCACTGGAGCCTGTTCGGACTATCTAGAGTCACTCCCTTAAAGAAAACCAACTCTCCCTCACCCAGCAGTGATCAGCTGCCAATGGTTCCTCTGCTAAGGTTGGGGCTTCTTACCCATTTCCCCACTTCTATGCTGGGTGCTTGTCTGGTTTAATTTGCATGGGTCTCGTGCATGTTGTCACCAATGCTGTAAGTTCATATGAGCAAGTTCTCAGAAGCCTGAGAGCCTCTGTTTCCTTACAGTCATGTACCACCCCTGGCTCTTACAACCATTCCATCCCCTCTTCCACAATGATCCCTGAGCCCTGAGTGGGTAAAGTTTAATACAGAAGTTCTACTCAGGAACATGCGCTCTGCAGTCTCTTAGTCTCTGCATTTTTGCCAGCTGTGGTCTTCTGTATTCATCACCCTCTGTTGCATGAGGAAGCTTCACTGGTGAGATGCATTAGTGTTCTCTACCACCTGCTCCACTATAAAGGCGTGGTGGTGCACACCTTTAGTCCCAGCTCTTGGGAGGCAGAGGCAGGCAGATCTCTGTGAGTTCAAGGCCAGCCTGGTCTATATAGTGAGTTCCAGGACAGCTGGGGCTACAGAGAGACCCTGTCTCAAAAAGACCAAAAATATAATTCAAATAAGCACACTTTCACAAAAATCACAACAGCACTTTAGGAGCTGTGGAAGACACCTAACTGGTGTCTGAGTACTAAGTATAGAACAAGAAATCAGTGAGAGACTGGGCTGGATAAACGGCTCAGTGGTTAAGTGCACTGGCCAATCTTCTAGAGGACCCGAGTTCAATTCCCAGTATCCACACAGTGGTTAACAACCATCCGTTAACTCCAGTTCAGGGGATCTGATACCCTCTCCTGGTCTCTGTGGACTTTGCAAGGCATAGGTGCACTTACAAACATGGAGGCAAAACACTCATACACGTAAAATAAAAATTCATATTTTTCTAGCCAGGCGTGGTGGCGCACGCCTTTAATCCCAGCAGTCAGGAGGCAGAGGCAGGTGGATCTCTGTGAGTTCAAGACCAGCCTGGTCTACATAGTGAGTTCCAGGACAGCTGGGGCTACAGGGAGACCCTGTCTCAAAAAGACAAAAACAAACAAACAAACAAAAAAAAACCCAAAAACATATTTTTTTAAAAAATATTTTCTTATTATTTTTATTTTTATGTATATGAGTGTATTGCCTGCATGTGTGTGAGTGCACCCATGTCGGAGGTCATGAAGAGGGCTTCGGATTCCGTGGAACTGGCATTAAGGACAGTTCGTAGCCTCCATGTGGGTGCTGGGAATCGAACCCAGGTCCTCTGCAAGAGCAGTCAGTGCTCTTAACCACTGAGCCATCTCTCCAGCCCTAAAATACATACTTTTTAAATTAAAAAATTTAAAGAAATCAGTGAGACAAGAAAGAGACAGAGTATATGTTTAATCTTCAATATTCTTATTGGTCTAACTGGTTCTATTAAATAATTTGAATTTTTAATTTCAGTGATTATGACAAGGGTCATAATTCAGAGGGTCCAGGAAGACAGATCACAAAAGTAAACACCGAAATACTAACAAAATAACACACGATGTGCCATTTAATGCTATAAGCACTCCACAGATGTCAACTCATTTATTCCTTGGACTAACAGGCACACAATATTTTCATTTAAAAAAAATTTATTTATTATTTTAATTTTATGTGTATGCATGTATTGCCTGCATGTAGGTAAGTGCATCCATGTCATGCAATGCCCACGGAGGTCAGAAGAGGCTGTCAGATCCCCTGGGACTGGAGTTACGGACAGTTGTGAGCTGCCATGTGGGTGCTGGGATTTGAACCCGGGTCTTCTGCAAGAATAGTCAGTGTTCTTAACCACTGAGCCATCTCTCCAGCCCCCAATATTTTCATTTTAAACAAGAGGAAAAAGGTAAGAAGCAGTTAAATAATCTGACCGTGTAACATAGCTAATAAGGTACAGAAGTACAATTCAAAGCCACGCAGCGGCAAGGGGCCTATGTTCTTTACTGTGCTCTATTGAAACTTACTTTACATAGTATCTACGGTCTTCTCTAATTACATCTCGCTTATTACTGTGCTTTCTTCCTTGTCTCTTTGGAATAATCTGACCCTGGTCAAAAATTGGGTGAAAAAAACTTTTCACCTGTTTTTAAGGAAGAAAGAGGATATGAAACAAATTTAGACAACAGTAGAAACACTAAGTAGGCACTATTTGTTTAAGACACAGATGATAAACTATACATGGTCTTACCTTGAAATTTTCCACAGGAAAAATTTCTAGGTTAGCACTTTTCAACTCTGAATCAGTCTTACTAGTAACTGACCAGAAAACCAATAGAGAATCATCTTTCCAAATTTTATAAGACGACACTGATATGGCCTCATCACTACAGACTTCCCCAAGACTCAAATGCATGTACTCAGTAGTTTCTTCCAACAAAGAAGAAGATAGAGACAGTTCCTCGACAACTGACACTGCAGAGGATGGAGAAGGATGAAAAATTTCCATGTCGTCATCAGCAAACAAAGACGGCGCAGGCAAGCTGCAACTGGAGAGTTTGTCCACTGGAGGCGGCCCTTGGAGAGATCCGGAATCCAAAAGTTCTAAGCTCAGTTCTTTGTCTCCTCTATCCTGAAAAGTGTTCAGATAATCACCCCCATCACGGGCCACGTTCGACACAGAGTTACAGGAGGAGCAGCCTGTACCGTGAGGGCTGTTTGTCTCGCCACTTTTGGTTTCCTTGACTTTCGATTTCCTCCTGAACTTATGAGACACTGTGTCTGCTTTTCCCAGCTGCAAAAATAAAACATAATAATATAAAAGAAACTATTTTACTAGTCATGAGTCTTAAACATTCTTTCAATTTCAAACGAGCAATATACTAACACTAAGAATCTGTACAGCAAAGATTAACAAAAATTAGAAATGAATAAAATTTTAAACCCTAAATTCTGACAGTTATGTAACTTTGAATTCTCAGCTAAATCTTACTTCTGATTTAAGAACAAACACAAAATTAGAGGAGATAAGGTGAAAAGTTAGTTATAGTAACTCAAAAACTTGCTAAAATTGAGAATACTACATTTCAGGATTGGACAACCTAGGTATGCTTTTGTTTCTGGCGCTATCTTATAGAATCCTAAGTTATTCTTGAATACAAGGAACATCTCAAGTCTGTTTTAGTAATCTATAATAATTGTGATTTCATGGTCTATGTTAAACGGCAGGGAAGAAATGTGTTTTTACTTCAAGAACCAATGGGAAAGGCTGACCAGGAAACTTGATGCAGAAGGATTCTGTAACTAGAGATGTTTGCCACAGACTCAGGAGACAGGAAGGGCAAATTTGCTACCAACTAATCTAACTCTGAAGAATGTTCTATGAATCTATGTAAGAAAAGTCATGGCCCAAATGTTCCCTTGCCTCACAAAGTTCTATCTGGAATCAGTTCACACTGATTACTACTCTGACTCCACATCTCCATTTGCCTGGGGGCTTCAGCATTACATGGTCACTCCGCTTTCCATACTTTCTGCATTCCCCCCAAACCCCAACATTTGCCAACTCTCTTCAGATCCCCATGATTAATCCTGCCAATCTGACTGAATTTAGAATCACCCTGGAAATACTCCTCTGGGTATGTCTATGACGGTGTTTGTAGAAAGGTTTAACTGAAGATAGACCCATCCTGAACATGATCAGCACCATCCAATAGTCTAGGGTCCTGGAATGAGTATGGAAGGAGAAAGTCAACTAAGCACCAACATTCATCTCTCTGCTTCCTGACTGCAGATACAATGTGACCAGCCTTCCCTGCTGTAATGAACTGTACCCTTAAACTGCAAGACAAAATATACCCTTCCTAAACTCCTTTTCAGGTATTTTGTCACAGCAACATGAAAAGCAACTAATACAGAAAATAGTACCAAAAAGTGGGGGCCCTTGATCATGTGGTTGTTTTAGGTCTTTGGAACTGATATATGGGAGGAATGCAGAAGAATATAAGCAGCACTTAGAGAACCATTCTGCTGGGAGTTTGGAAGACCAGAATGCCAAAAGAAGCGTAGACAGGGGAGGTTCAATTCATGAGGTTTCAGAGGGGAACAAGGACTCCATCAGGAACTGAGCTAGAGGCCATGTGTGTTATATGCTGGCAAAGAATCTGCCTGGAAGAAAAAGCAGATAGGAATAAAGTAGACAAAGGATTTCATTTCTAAAGTAGCATAAGATTCAAACTAGGTGTACAGTAGACTATTTGATACTGTTCTCAAGTCATTACTATAGATCTTTGGTTTTGCCCTTTTTAAATTTCTTTTCTTTTTGTATTCTCATCCTCCATATCTCAGATGACTTCAGCTACTTTGTCTTCAAGCTTATGATTTCTGCACTGTCAATCTACTGTTAATCAGAAGCAGAAGTTATGGGACATCATTAAAATACTTAAAGAAAACAAAGTCAGCATAGCACCACATAACCAAAAAAAAAAAAAAACGGGTATTTTAAAGATGAAAGTGGGAAAAAAATGGAAAGTGAAAAAAATAAGTGAACATTGACCCTTATGGTGAGCTATGTAAAAATTAACTCACAATGGATCACAGATCTAAAATCAAAAACTAGTTAAAACTAGGTCAATGTAATCTCGACCTATGTAACTGAGACCTATAGACATCAGAAAAACCAGCAGAGACCAGGACTGCTGGAGAAAACTAGTTATCTAAAAAGGCAGCATGCTAGGGACACAGCAGACACAGCTGTTCTCTATTCTGTCTGTTTTGCCCTAGTGTCAGAGGCAAAGCTGGCTTTGAGAGGGCAAGAGGATTTCTGCTAATTTATAATTAAATAACTTTTTCTCTTTTGACTTGATGCCATCAACATAGTTACTCCCAGAGCAAAAATTCTTATAAAACGAAAAAACGGAGTTGTTGTTTTTTACCATTCAGAGATTGTTAAACCATGAGGACACAATTTAAATGGGAAAAAAGTTCTAATTATACTCCAAATTTCAAGTTCAGACACACACAAAAATCTGGTAGTAATTTATCAATCTGAATGCTTTCTGTAGGGGATTGGTGGGGGAAGGAAGGAAAGGATCTAAGGCAAGAAAACCTCTAGGCTGACAAATGGTTCACGAATTTGAGCTCCGTGAACCTGGTATAACCTGACTTTGGCATATTCTTACCAGAGCATGACCTGATACCACTCACTACAGACTGCTAGAACCAAAGTCCAGATTCTTTGATTTGCAGAAATGCAAATTCAGTCATGTGAGACAACTGTAAGATACATTACTAATGCTGTCAGTCCACTGTTGTCTTTTTCTAAAGACAGAATATCAAGTCTGACAGAAACGGAATCTAGACTGGGGAATCTATAAAAGAAAGACACATAAGGACAGTGGCATGGCATATCATTTGGCCTAGTGTTGACAGGAATGGAGGGGAGATTCCACTAGGAATGAAAGAACTGGACTGTTTCTCTAATGATAATTGCAAAACAGACGGCTCTACCAGGCCACTGAAAGGAGGACTGCGTGGTATTTGTAGACGTTCACAGTCTCACCCTTGCTTCACTATGACTTTTCATTCTTTTACTATGCAATTAATATAACATAAAAAGGGTTTGAAGATCATAACCCTAAAATCTAAATAATCATTATTATCAAAGTACCATATTGTTCCTTCCAGAGTCAACACACCTTTATCATCTTTACAGTTAAAATCAAGTACAAACAACTTTATTCTCTGGATTTTTGTTTAATATATATTATTTTTCAGATTATAATGCTAGATTGATCATTTTTAGTGTCTGAATAACATTCTGAGAGAACATAATTTATGTAACCATTCTCCTATAAACAACTAAATTGATTACTACTTTATAATAAATTTTGAGAATATGCTTTTTCACAGATATATCAATATTACTGACAATCTTCAATCAGGTTCCTGGCCATTAGAGAACTGTCTCATTCACCCGAGTATAAGGGTAATAGTATCCCTGCTCATTCTTCTCACTTTACCTGACCTTGACCCTGTCCTAGCAGACTAGATGGGAGAGAACAACTTATTCAAGTGGACTAGCCTTTTATTTCCCTTCACTGGTGACTCTAGAGCTAGGAGATGATGGCTCCTGAAAGCCAAGCCAAGGAAGCCATTTCGCACACGGATAGATGGAAGGTTTTTGTAGCTCCAGTTCTCTGCCAACAGAGGACAGAGATTCTCATAGGAATATAACAGATAACTTACCAAGTTGATTGTATTTTCTGGTCCTAGGCCAACAAACAATGATGATGCCAACAGCTGCTTTTCTTTCTCCTCTTTAGACGGGTGAAGGCTTTGAAATGGCTCTTTTCTTATTGTAGCCTGGTCTGCATTCTCCATCGCTGTACTCTCTGGAGCAACAGGCGGAACTTGCGTTTTCTCACTAGTTGTGCTCTCCTTCTTGGGAAGATAGCCCTCTTTCCCCCACAGTTTCTTTACACCCTCCAGCTTCAAGCTATTTGTCCTAAGGAGGTTGATGAAGAAAGTGAGCCTATTTAAAGAACTGTCAAATAGTTACTTTCTTGAGTAATTTTCTTTTCAAAACACCTAATAGTCCATGGCCTTTTTAAAAAAAAATTATTATTTTTATTTTATGTGTATGCATGCATTGCCTGAATGTATGTAAGTGCACCTGTGTTGTGCAATGCCCACGGAGGTCAGAAGAGGCTGTCAGATCCCCTGGGACTGGAGTTACACACAGTTGTTAGCTGCCAGGTGGGTGCTGGGATTTGAACCCAGGTCTTCTGCAAGAACAACCAGGGTTCTTAACCACTGAGCCATCACTTCAGCCCAAGTCCATGGCCTGGGTTTTATAGGCCAGAAGTAAAGCCGGGCGTGGTGGCGCACTCCTTTAATCCCAGCACTCAGGAGGCAGGCAGATCTCTGTGAGTTCAAGGCCAGCCTGGTCTACATAGTGAGTTCCAGGACAGCTGGGGCTACAGGGGGACCCTGTCTCAAAAAGACCAACAATAAATAAATAAATAAATAATAAATAAATAAATGCCAGTACTAAACCTAGGTTTTTTTTGGGGGGGGGTGTTGTTTTTGTGATTTATGGTTGGGTTTTTGTTTGTTTGTGTTTGTTTTTGTTTCTTTCTTTTTTGAGACAGGGTCTCCCTGTAGCCCCAGTTGACCTGGAACTCACTATGTAGAACAGACTGGTCCCCAGTCTTACAGAGATCCACATGCCTCTGCTGGGATTAAAGGTATGCACCATCACACCTGGCTTTTTTCTTTTTTTAAAAAATTATATTCTTTAATTCTTCTTCCCTCTAGCTAAATAATTTAAGGCTACAAAACTCTAGATTTGATTAAAAATTTCAGATCAAAAATATAAAAATAGGACTACTACAAATCAGTTCTTTTTCTCTACTGACTTTTCAAAAATACCTTATCTTTAATTCTGATGACCTAAAGATCAGAAAAACTTGAGTTTCTTAGCCATAGATGGAAATTAAGCCTAAATTCCTAATATAATTCATAAACCCAAATTCACTTAAAAATGTTGAGAGCAAAAAATTCAAATGTGCACATATATTTAAACTTCTTTTTAATTCAAAAGGTTTTCTTGTCAGGCAGGGTGGTACACACCTTTAATCCCAGCACTCAGGAGGCAGGGGCAGGCGAAATCTCTGTGAGCTCAAGCCTAGCCTGGTCTACATATCAAGTTCCAGACCAGCTGGGGCTACAGGGAAACCCTGTCTCAAAAAGACCAAAAACTGAATGCCAAAGGCTTTCTTAATGTGAAAACTAATTATATATTTTATTATTATAAATGTATACTTATAAAAATGAGGCTTGGTCTGGAAAAGAAAAAGATGCTAGGAATAAGTCTTGAGACTTAGAAACTAAAACATATTAAATTTATTTATTTACTTATTTATATGGGGAGGGAGTGTGTGAGATGGGACTCACGTGGAGGTCAGAGGACCACCTGCAGGAGTCAGTTCTCTCCTTCCACCACGTGGGACCTGGGGATGGAACTCAAGTCGTTAGACTTGAACACAGTCACTTTTATCTGCTGAGCCATTTCATTGGCTCAGAAATTACTTTTCTCTAATTGCATTTATTTATGTATTTGTGTATGTGTGGGGACATGTACACCATGATGCATATCCACCAAGGTCACAGGGCTAGAATGCAGGCTGTTAGGCATAGCATAATTAACCCACTGAACCATCTCACCAGTCCCAGGAACATTTTAATAACTGAGTTTTAAAAAGTATATGCTAGCAGGTGCCCAGCCGAAAAGGCCTAGAGAAGATATCTAGGAAAAATGATCTAGGGTCAAATTGAGAATATGAACTCACCTCATATCCCAAAAACTACAGCTATGAATCTGAAGTGACCAATAAAGCCCAGAATGCTGACTGAAACAGCCAAAGATTGCCTTTATTGTTCTGATATAAAAACCCATGCGGGGTTGGCGAGACAGCTTAGCAGTTAACAGGGGTTGGAGAGATGGTTCAGCACCCACAAGGCAACTAACAATCGTTCGTCAACTCCAGTTCCAGGGGATCCAATGCCCTCTTATGGCCTCTGGGGGCACTGCATGACATGGGTACATTTACATACATGCAAGCAATACACTCATACAAATAAAATAAAAATATGTAAGGCAAAAAATATTTCAAAAACCTATATATTGATTAACTAAATTATAATCATTTCACAATGTAAATTTATATCATATTGTATACTTTACATACATACTATTTTCAAAATGAACTGCATCTCAATAAAGTGGGGAGTAGAACTACTAAAAATAAAAAAGGAAAATAATTAATTTAAAACTACACGTCCTTCATACTTGGTTCACTTAAGCATTGTTAAGCATCACAAAGTAGCACTTAGATTTATACCACAAAATAGGGAAATTAACTCAAAAAGAAAGATACAAAATTATTTATAGTGATTTTTAAAAGTTCTGTTACTTTATTGTGTATGTGCATGCACGTACCACAGCATGCATGTGGAGTCAGAGGACAACTTGCAGGAATCAGTTCTTGTCTTCCACCATGTGGGTTCTGAGGACTGACCTCAGGTCATCAGACTTAGCAGCAAGTGCCCTTACCCGCCAAGCCACTTTGCTGGTCCTTTATGCTGATTATTATCCCAATGTAATTTGTTGGAAGCCTGACCAATTTGATTTTATGTACTAGACTTTACCCCAAAACAGGTAATTATATTTCATATTGAGTAAAGAAGTAATGTTATTCAGCAGTAAGTGGCTGAATGAGAAACCAGACTTTAATAAAGGATACTCTACAGGGAATTGATTTATCTCCCCTCATGGATTTTATACAAAAGTATTCTTTTATAAAGTCCCATTTCCCCCTATCTTCCAGGTACCACTCTAGTTTCATTTCTGTTGCTGTGATAAAATATTCTGACCAAAAGCAACTTAGTGGAGAAAGGAGTTTATCTGGTTGACGATTCCAGGTTACGGTCTATATAACTGCAGGGAAATCACAGCAGCAGGAGCTTGAGACAGATGGCCACACCACATCTACAGTCAAGAGCAGAAACGAATGCAGCCATGCTCCCTGCTCCCTTCTGCTGTTATCTAACTTCTGTCCTATACAGTTCAAGACCTCCTGCTAAAGGCATAGTGCCACTCACAATGGGCTGGATCCTTCCATATCAATTAACAATCAAGAAAATCCCCAAAGACATGCTCACAGGCCAACCTGATACAAATATTTCCTCAACTGAAATTCTCTTCATGGGTAATTTTAGGTTGTGCCAAGTTTGATCTTTAAAACTAACCATTGCAGGTACCAAAAGAGTTTTTAAAGATGTTTTAATAGATAACTTCCAGCTATCTAATAAACCTCCTAGAAGAAAAGTAGCTGTCCTCGCCACAGGAAGAGCTATAAGTAGTCATGGGACTTACTGAAAAGACCCCTGGCATCTCTAGGACGTTCAAAAGCGTCATCTCTAAAGGATATATGAATATTCGAAGCTGGGTCACATTATCTACAAGTCTCCTTTAACCAAAACATTTCCTTTATTTAAAAAAAATACTATCCAAATTTTATGGATAAAAGATCCAAACAAATGTGTGGATGTGGATGTTTTGCTTTGTTTTTAAGGCAAGTAGGTCCTGGGCCGCTCTACCTAGATCACTCGTCAATGAAAGACCGTTACCCAGCTGTTGGAATGCCTCGGTCAGTTCACAGACTGTCCTAGAACTCTCAAAAGATCAATGTCCTCTCAGTGCAGCCCACATCCAGTGACTAATGGTCAGAGCATAAAGTTCTGGACTACAGAGATGGCTCAGTGGATAAAGTGCTTGTGCAGTCACGAGGATTAGATTTCAGATTGCCAGCACACACATAAAACACAGAGTAGGCCTCGGTAACCAAGTGCTCCAGAGGCAGCGCAAAAGAGCCTTTGGGTCACTATGGCTACCTAGACTAGCCAAATTGAGCTCCAGGTTCAGCAGGAGACCCTGCCTCAGTAAATAAAGTAGAAAGTGATTGAGGAAGACATCCAAAGTCAACTTCAGGCCTCCCATGTAGCTGCACACATGTGTGCCCACACACAAGAAAACATGCATTCACACACATAACACACACACCAAAACTAACACAAAGTTCTGGTCCCTAATCTTGGACACTCATTTTGGGACAACTCTAGCGGGTCACTCTAGCTCCTGAGCAGAAGCTGTCACCCACATTACCTTGTCTCTTCTTCCTCTGCCCATACTTGATTCTTTCCACAAGTGTGGTTCCAAAAGGCACTCTGTCATATTCTGTATGCTACATGCTATTGCAGAATGTATTTTACAGGCAAAATTGGAAAGGGGAGCCAAAAGAAGCCTAAAGATTTTTCTCAATTATCTCATCTACATACATACTTATCAATATAAATTTTGTCGTGTATTATATAAACAGCATAATATACTTAACAGGTAATATACTTAGAACAACCTAAGACCATTTCATAAACAAATATCTCAACAATATGAAACATATTGTAAATGCTATTTATTAAAAATATTTTATTTATTATTTTTATTTTATGTGTATGAGTGTATTGCCTTCGTGTATGTAAGTGCACCCATGTCATAAAATGCTCATGGAGGTCAGAAGAGGGTGTCAGACCACTTGGAACTGGAGTTATAGACAGTTGTTTGCTGCCATGTGGGTGCTGGGAGTCGAAACTGGGTCCTTTCCAAAAGCAGTTCTTAACCACTGAGCCAACTCTCCAGCCCTGTAAATGCTGTTTGTTTTTTAAAATATTTTATTTATTATTATTTTTATGTGTATGTGTGTATTACCCACATGTAGGTAAGTGCACCTGTGTCATGCAATGCCCGCAGAGGACAGAAGAGGCTGTTGGATCCCCTGGAACTAGAGTTATGGACAGTTGTTAGCTTCCATGTGGGTGCTGGGATTTGAACCTGGGTCGTCTGCAACAACAGCCAGTGTTCTTGACCACTGAGCCATCTCTCCAGCCCCAAATGCTGTTTTTTAAACATGAGTCATCTTTGGCTAGATTTTGACAACACTTATATAATCCACAGTTTTATGTATTGTGTCTTTGTATTATTTTTATTCAGATACACATGCAAATTCTGACCAAGTAACCTTCAAAAGATTGAGGGTATACTTTACCTCAGCTCTAGGAATTCCCACTTCTAGAGTGATAAAAGGTTTAAACTGGGCTTGCTGTTACTTTATTTCAGCTTACCAGGGACTGCAGAACAGCAATTATCTCCCCTCTAAAGCTGATTCACTTTGACAGCTACCACATATGTTCTTAATCTGAAATAATATGTGAACTGTGATCCTCTTTGAAAAGAAATTCATTCCTTGTGTTCAGTTCCACAGCACATATAATGTACAAGCAGTATAGAATTTATAAGGTTATCTTGTCACATCCCTCAGATCATAGTTCAGTTTAAAAGCGACTGTGTGAGTGTCTCTCTGGGTGTAGAGGGTTTCTGTCTGCACTAGCTGCTTTGTTCTATGTGGGACACTGAACCGCCATCACCCCTACCATCACATACCCACAAACCATGCCTGGAATGCCAAAATTAAATGTCTAGGAAGAAAAGAAGGATGTTAGACCAGGGGGGAAAGGAAGAGAAACAAGACTTAGAATTCAGGCCATTTTACATATCATATCATTCTTCATTCATCATAATCTATTTATATTATTCTCAAATATGTTTCTTTTATAGCCATCTTATTGAAAAATTAACAAATTATAAGCATGAAAACAAAATAAGGTGACTGACTTCTTAATAACTATACAGGAACTCAAAATTCAAATGTTATCCTTTAAAGTTTCAAAGCTGTAGCATTGGGGATTGAACCCAGGCCCTCATACATTCTATGCACGCACTCTACCACTGAGCTACATCCCCAGCACCCTGAACTCTTAAATGAAGCTCACTAACAAAGAAGAAAGCCATTTTCCTTTTCATTACTTTATTATTAGTCACTAAATTCAGCATGTGGATGATGATGGGGTGTTTTGTTTGCTTGTTTTTATTTTTGTTTTTGGAGACAGGGTCTCCCTGTAGCCCCAGCTGGCCTAAAACTTGTTATGTAGACCATGCTGGCCTTGATCTCACAGAGATCTGTCTGCCTTTGCTTTCTGAGTGCTGGGTTAAAGACACGCACCACCATGCCCGACAATAATTCCTGTGTATGTGGGTGGACTATGCACTTCATTCATATGAACGCGTTTCATTAACTTAATTATGCTTCTGAAAATAATTTAATTATATTATAAAAATTAAAATATACTTTAACAGGGAGCTGGAGAGATGGCTGAGCAGTTAAGAACACTGACTGCTCTTGGAGAGGACCCTGGTTCAAGTCCCAGCACCCACATGGCAGCTACGAACCGTCCTCAACTCCAGTTCCAAGGGAATCCGAAGCCCTCTTCTGACCTCCGCAGCGTTGCATGACTTGGGTGCACTCACATACATGCAGGCAATACACTCATACACATAAAATAAAAATAACAAATAAAATATGGGAAAAATATATACTTTAACAGAATGAAATTTGGCCTCAAATAAGATACACATGCAACTACATCAGCAATTTTCAAGGTGCTCAGAGAAGCTCTGGAAGCATTTTATGTGCTGGGGGATGTGCACATGAACGCACAGTTGTGCACTCTGATGTGTGTGCATGTAGAGACCAGAGGACAAGGTCAGGTGTCTTCCTCTATTGCTCTTAACCTTATTCCTCATGACAGAGACTCAACTGGAACTTGCCATTTTGGCTAGGCTGGCTAATCAGCAAGCTTTCAGGATCCATCCAATACTTGGGTGCACAATATAGGCACACACAATCATGCCTGGTATTTTACATGGGTGCTGGGGATCTGAACTCGGGTCCTCATGTTTAAATAGCAAGTGACCTCATCTACTGAGTTCTCTCCCTGGCCCTTTTGGAAGTATTCTGAGCCAAGAACATAGCTTCCTCAGGTGAAGTCAGTCAGTCATTCTATTTTGTGTTCATCTCTGTATGTGTCACTCTTCTAATAAGTTGGTTATAAGAAATATTTACCACGGGCTAAAGAGATGGCTCAGTAGTTAAGAAAACGGACTGTTCTTGCAGAAGACCCAGGTTCAAATCCCAGTACCCACACGGCAGCAGAAAAGAAATATTTACCAGAAAAAAATGACACAATGATACTTATCTGGTATATAAATTGATATGCTTCTTAAAATTTTATAATATATAACAACACAATTATGTGAAAAAAATTTTTTTAATTTGTATGTGTGTGTATGCGTGTGTGTGTGTGTGTGTGTGTGTGTGTGTGTGTGTGTGCACATGCATGTGGATACTCGCAGAGGCAAAAAGAGGGTGTTGGATCCCCTGGAGCTAGAGTTACAAACAGTTGTGAGCTGCTTAATGTGGGTGCTGAGAATTGAACTTTGATCCTCTGCAAAAGCAGTTCACACTCTTTAACTGCTGAGCTGCCTCTCCAGCCCCTATACACAAATCTTACTAATATCTTATGCCTTATCTGTCTTGGACGGCAGATAAGCTCTTAAGTTTACGGACACACTATACGGTGTCAGAACCTTGAAAGCACTCAATGGAAACAAGTGAAACAAAAGCCCATGCAGAACCCTTCACAGCATTACATTAACATACACTGTCACAAATGTGTCTCTTCTTATAAATTATTTAAAGACCCCTGAAACTTCTAATAAGTCATCTTAAAATAAACAAATAATGACCCTGATGAAACAAAGTGGATGGAATGTTAAAGTTTTAAACTCTGCATATTCTCAACTTTACAAAGAAAGGAACTTACTCTTTCAGCGCTGTTTCAACACTATTCCCAGATATATCAGAACCAAGAGAAATGCCAGCAGGAGACTGTCTTCCAGTGAAGCCAGATGAAGAAAATGATAGGCCATATGGTTCAAAATTGAGAACTATAATTTTAAAACAGTAACAGAAGTTCATATTTAAAACAAAGCATAAGAGCACAATTTATGAGATTCTGTTCACTAGTGAAATAATTTAAAGGCTGGAATTTGTTGACAATTTTTCAATAATAAGGAGCTTTGGGTATAATCTAATCAGATATGTACAATAATAATTAAGCAGTTGCCATTTATTTAAGTCTGTATATACTACATAATCACAAACTATCTTTCATTTTTACTTCTCTTAAAAGCTAAAAATAATCCAATTAGAAAAGGCAACTAATAAATAAGACCCAATGAAAAGTTTCCACTATCATGGGAAGAAAAAATGCCATGAGGGAAAAGTGAAGTCATGGCTAACTATTCCTGACATATTCTTACACCACATGGACTCATGGAGACCTCAATGTGTGAAAGTGTCCCTTACTGACCCAAAACAATGCTTACTCAGGTACTGATTCCTTTAAAAATGTATAGCCTAAATTAATCCATCAGTATCATATAAATTCATATTATTATTGTGGAAGAGCAGATACCAGTGATCCGTTCCCTTTCTCTTCATGTAACAGAATCCTCCATTCTTAGGTATGTACACAGGCAGCCAGACAAGACACCTACAGATTCTGTTGCCATATGACGAAATTCTGGTCAATGAAATTTTATACACATTTGTGGGCAACACGTAAGAAAACTCCCCTGGAAAGAGAAATCTCTTCTCCCATTTCCTTTTCCCTGTTGCTTAAACTGCTGCTTGGTTGCTGGAGTGCAAGCAGCCACCTTGTCTCATGAAGTGAAAGCAACAAAGATGCCAGAACACGAGAGGTGGAATTTGGAGTTCTCATAATTAAGAACCGCGCCCCCCAAAAGCCCAACAACAAGCAAACCTCTAGGCTGTCTACTTTTTGATTGCCCCAATGGAGAGAGCAATAATCTTGCATAAGACCCCAGGTTGTCATTAGCTAAATCTAATTCTAACTGGAAATTTTATCTTTTTGTACTTTTTTTTTTTTTACTACATTTTCAGTCATTGGCCTCTTTTGTAAGAGCCTCTGCATTAACAGTCATTACAGTACCAAGCAAGAATGCCCTATTAAAAATAAAGAACTCACCCTGAGGAACAGATCCTCAAATGACCTTAAGTGTAAAAATAAATTGATTGGGGCCAACTGTATGGTCTTAAACACCCAATAGGAAAATATAAACAAAGAGTAAAGTCATCAGTATACTTCTTTAAGAGTTCAAGGGATTATACTTCCCAGACGTTAGGCTTACGTCTAAATACCAGCACTTGGGAGGCAGAAGCAGGCGGATCTCTGTGAGTTCAAGGCCAGCCTGGTCTACATAGTGAGTTCCAGGACAGCTGGGGCTACAGGGAGACTCTGTCTCAAAAAGACAAAAAAAGAAAGAAAGAATGAATTCAAACCAGAGTAGAAAAAAATTAAAAATTAAAGGCTGAGAATTTGAGAATGGAGAGAAGAAACTAGACGTGGAGGGGATAGAACCTAAAGAACAGATAAAATCCCATTCTGAGAAAAGAATTAAAGATTGACATTTAAGGAAAGCTTGAAAAGGTTTAAGGTAAAAACCAAATATAAGGCCAGGCGTGGTGACCCACGAATTTAATCCCAGCACTCAGGAGGCAGAGGCAGGAGGATCTCTGTGAGATCAAGGCCAGTCTAGTCTATATAGTGAGTTCCAGGCCAGCTGGGGCTACAGAGAGAGACCCTGTCTCAAAAAGACCAAAAAAAAAAAAAAAAACCACAAACATTAATAACCAAAACAAAATATGCCCTCTAGAATGAGCACTTCCGTCATAATGTTTACTGAAAAAAGCAACCTAGCTGATGCAAAATACAATTTCAAAACAGGAATTATAGACACACTCAAGGAAATCAACAGGATATGACTAAAAGACTCAATAAAGATAGTGAAAACAGTTTAATGAAATTAAAACAATTCAAGAAATGAAATTAGAATTCAATAAAGAGAATCTCTGAAGAAAAGAAAAGCCAAATGGAAATAAAACTCAGTATGAGAAACTCAGAAAGTAAGAAAAAAAGCTGAAAGAAAAGCCTCACAAATAGACTAGATCGAGTAGGAGGTAAGAGTATTAGATCTCAAACTCAAGGTTGAGAAAGTGGATCATTCAGACAAGGAAAATGTTAAATCTAAAATAACCCAGGAATGGAACACACAGAACCCCTAGGACACTATATAAAAAACAAATCTGCCCATCATAGGTATGGAAAAAGGAAAAAAATTCCAGGTCAAAGGCACAGAAAATATTTTTAACAAAATCATAGATTTCCCAAATTTAAGGAAAGAGATGACTATTAAGGTGCAAGAGGCGTACAGAACACCAAGTAGACAGGACCAGAAAGGAAGTCCCCACATCATATAATAGTCAAAATACTAAATGTACAGAACAAAGAAAAGCTATTGAAAGCTGCGAGAGAGATCAAGTTATATACAAAGGCAGGCCCATTAGAATAACACCTGACTTTATAATGGAGACTGAAAACCAGAAGGACTTGGAATAAAGTCCAATAAGTCATGAAAGAACATAGATGCCAGCCTAGACTACTATATCCAACAAATCTGTCAGCTGTAATCAAAGGCAAAGGGAAAACTTTGCATGATAAAAACAGGTTTGAGGAATTTATGTCACTCACACAGCTCTACAGAGGATACTAGAAGGAATACTTTGGTCTGAAGAGAAGATTAAGTACACTCTCTAGGGCACAAAGTATAATTCCAGAACCACCAACTAAAAGAGATCTAAGAAAACAACACCACAACAGCAACATAACAGGAATTAACAAACATTGGTAAATAACACTCAATATTGACAGTCCCAATTCCCCCAATAAAAAGACACAGACTAACTGATTGAATTAGAAAACATGATCCTTGGGGCTGGAGAGATGGCTCAGTGGTTAAGAACACTGGTTGTTCTTGCAGAAAACCCGGGTTCGAATTCCAGCACCCACATGGCAGCTGTCCATAACTCCAGTCCCAGGGGATCCAATAGCCTCTTCTGACCTCTGTGGGCATTGCACGACATGGGTGCACTTACCTACATGCAGGCAATACATGCATACACATAAAATAAAATAATAAAATTTAAAAAAAAAGAAAACATGATCCATCTATTCTAATATCTGAAAAAACAGACTTCAAACTAAAACTAGTTTGAAAAGACACGGACAGACACTTCATACTCATTAAAGGAAAAAGCTACCAAGAGGATATGACAATCCTAGAAATATGTACACCAAACACAGGGCCATCCAATTTTTTCTTCTTTTTTTTAATTTTATGTGTGTGAGTGCTTTGCCTACGTGTTAAGTGTACCTGTGCATGTAATGCTCATGCAGGCCAGAAGAGGGCCATCAGATCCCCATTAAAGACACTATGTAGATGCTGGGAACTAAACCCAGATCCTCTGGAAGAGGAGCCAGTGCTCCTAACCCCTCAGATATCTCTCCAGCCTGAGGGTACTCAACTTCATAAAATAAAACACATAAAATAAATCACAGATTGACTCCAATACAGAGATAGTGGGTGACTTCAATACATACTCTCACCAATAGACTGATCATACAGACAAAAACTAATAGGGAAACAATGGAGTTAAATGACATCATAAATCAAATAGACCTACAGACATTTACAGAACATTCCACCTAAACACCAAAGAATATATTTTCTTCTCAGCAGGCATATCTCTGTGAGTTCAAGGCCAGCCTGGTCTATAAAATGAGCTCTGGTCCAGCCAGAGCTACAAAGTGAGACACTGTCTCAAATAAAAACAAACAACCCAATTAAAAATTGAGACAAGGAACTAATCAGAGTTCAAGAATTATGAAATGCAAATTGCTGAAAAATATTTTTAAAATTTTAATATGCAAATTAAAACTACTTAGAGATTTTTATTTTACCTCAGTAAGAATGGCTAGGATCCATTAAATGATGAGGAATGCTGTCAAGAATGTGGGGAAAGGGGAACATGTGTATTCACTGCTAGTGGGTGCAAACTGGTACAGCCACTATGGAAATCAGTATGGATAGTGCCTTGAAAAAGTGAAAATCAGATCTACCATATGATCGATCCACTTTGGTATGGCAGTTCACCAAGTTCACTGCTGTTCTATTCACAATAGTCAGGAAATGGAAACAACCTAGATGCCTATCAACTGATAAATGGATAATGAAAGTATGGTATAATTATACAATGAAATATTATTCAGCTGTTAAGACAAATGAAACTATGGAATCTGCAGGTACATGGATGGAACTGGAAACAATGATCCTGAGAGAGATTACCCAGAACCAAAAAGACAGTCATCACATTCTCTCCTAAGTCGATGCTAGCTTTCAATTTTTAGATAGGTAGATGGATTTCAATTGGAAAATCTATAGAGGCCAGAAAACGACTGAGGAACCATGTGGGGGAGGGGTTCATGGGAGGGAAGATAGAATGCAGTGATATAAAGGGGGAGAGAGAATAATTAGAAATAATAATAAAGGTTAGATGGTGGGGAATGGGAGGGCAGGGAGGAGGAGGGATAACTAACACTAACGGCCTACTGAAAATGTCATACAGAAACCTACTACTATAGAAGTTTCTTAAAATATATACATTCACAATATAAAAAAGTTTAAGTGTAGTGACCTAATAATGGGGGTCCAATAGCCCTACCAGGCACAAGCTAGGAAATGAAAAACCCAATGTACGAGTGGGCTCCCTCTTTTGGAGTTGTTGACCAAGGGGGTCCCATAGACCTTCAAACAACACTGGCTACTGCCATTGATCTTGGTTGCCCTCTAGACTTTGTGGTAAGATACTATTGCTGAAGAGACTACACACAGGAGTTGTAGAACCAACAAGGAGAAATCAAGATGGTATTGACCTCAAAGCTTTATCTCTACCTTATGCATGCCGCCAAAAGAGAAAAGTAATCATTAACCTTAACCAGCTGTGAACCCTGCAAGCTACAATAACG